TCACCACTATTGACGTCGTCGGTGACCTCATGACCTCCTCTGCCAACTGCGTCGATCGAGCCAGCATCACCGTCCCTCTATCGCACTCCCTCTGCTGGGCCTCGTTGTTCGAAGCCTTCCCATATGGTTCAGCTCGAGTGCGGACAGGTCCGGGTAGTCCAGCTGCTTCTCTAAACCTCAAACGCGAAAACGTCGAGCAGGGGAAGCCGGCATGAAACCCATCGATCAGGCCTTCCCGAGCCCAACGTAGATGGGTGTTGTACGGTTCATCTGCACAAAGGTCCTGACCCCAATCTCGCTCAGCGGAGATCACCTCGACGTTCAAACCCTTCTTCTTGGCTATCCGATGAATCTCAGCCCCCAGTGGATCCCTCGGGCCTGCGAAGTGGTGGAGGAAGCGGAACCTGCGCTGTTTGATGTACTTCGCAATCTTCTCATCCAGGGCCTTCTAGCTTTCTTCCTTCTTTGGCTGCTCCTTTCCTTGATCCTGCTTCTTCTCCTCACCGCCTTCTTCGCCTCCTTCATGTCCACCTTGTTGAACTCCATCACCGGTGCTCTTCACTTCTTGCCCTGACATCGATGCGCCGGGTGACCTGGTGACCCGCATGATGAGCACTTGTGAATCCGCTTGATCGTGTTTGCGCACTCGGCTCCAGCTGGCAGCGACCCACACGGCGAGTTCCCGTTGTTCCAGGAGAAGCAAATAGCCTCCGCTTGCTTCCCGCCTCCTCCCTTTTTCCCTTTTCCTTTTCCTCCCGACCTTCGCTCGCCGCTGCCTTCGTGCCGTGCATCTCGAAGTCGTTGGAGCTCTTCGCGTTCTGCCTGCCACTTTCTCTTCTTCGCTTCTTTTCTTTCTCGATTCACCTGCCTTCTGGTAGATGAGGTAGCCGTCGAAGAACTCTGGTTGAATGCTCCCGACTCCATCGATGGCAAGAGTGCATCCGCTCCTCCTCGAACTGTTCCTTGTGCGATGGTCTCCTGAGGAGTTTGCACTCTTCCTTTTGAGCCCGAAGCCAACCACGTCAGAGCCGGGCCATGCACCTGGTCCTGCCAAAATTTCAGTTCGCCGGGCACCATTTTGAAGATTGCTTCCCATGGCTTTTTCTCTTCGAAGGCGAATGGGGCTGCCTTTCCTCCCTTCATGTCCATGTTGATCTTTAACTTCAACCTCGATAAAAGTTCGCCCCGCGCCATCTCGTCCGCCGCGTACACCAAGTGCCAAGCCTCTGGGTATGCTCTGGTCAACTTCTCCACGAACAGCTCGTAGGCGTGCAATGGTGCCAGCGTGCACTCCTCCAACGTCAGCATGGCCGTCGTGAAGACCCGATAGCAAGCTCTCCACTGGGTGAAGTTCGCCGGACCCGGAAGCTCCTTTGCGACATAGCCATCCGCCGTAGGGATCCAGGTCTTGTATTTTGAAGCCCGTAGTGCCTTCCTGCCGAACGGGACGAACACGCCAAAGTCGCAGTAAGGAGGTTTGCCCAAGCTCAACTTCTTCTTCAACGCTGACAGTTGCTCTATCGTGGGCTCCTCCTCCTCTTCGGGCAAGGCTCCCGTTCTGGAGGAGTATCATCTTGGCCTCCTCGTTGAGTACCTCGAATTCTCCATCGTCCCCTTGGTCGAGGACCTGGGTAAATTTCAGTGTCCTTTCCTTCGTTTCCTTCACGAACTCCCCAGGTGCCGCTGCTGCCCTCGCCGACGAACTCCTCGGTGGTGAAGGAGGGGAATCGCTCCATGGATCTTCCTCTGACCAATCCTCCCAGGTGCCACCCCCCTTCACGAACATCATCCTCCTCGCCAGCTTCCACACGAGTCCCACCTGGGCGGCCTGAACCGCGGTCAAAGGGGCGCCGTCGTCGAAAGTCGCTTGGGCCAGCGAGGCCGCGACTACATTGCCCGGAAGGGCCGCCAAAAGCCGAAGGTCGTCGTTCGGATCGCCAGCCTCGCGAACAAATGCCGCCCACAATGCGTCGGCCACCTGGAAGTGATCCAAGATGGCCGACACCGACGACATCGCCGCGGCCGCCATGGCCGAGGGGAACATCTCCCCCCAGCAAGCCGCCCGCGAGGAGCGCGACCCACCACATGACCCTCAAACAAAGGGTCAGGGCTTGAGCCAAAATGGCGTACTCAAGCCCTGACCCCACCCAGACCTACCTAAGTTGTCCATCAGAAAACTCCTTCGTCTTTTTCTTGCACAAAAACGCTTCAAGTTCGAATGACGCGAATGACATGGCGCACCACAGGAGAGAGAGACTTTGGCACCCTAAACCATACACCCTGAACCCCCTGACTCTACTTGATTGAGGGGGGCGATGGATCTGCGCGTCGAGAGTGGTACGTCCGTTGGAGACGCCCACTCCGTTGGTACTCCTGTGATGCAAAGATCACAACACTCTGCTACGAAGCAGTAGAACTGTGTTGGGTTCCGTCTCGTTGGGTCGACTGAAAAGAGTTGTTTCCCAGCAGTCACAAAGGGGTGCTTAATGGAGGTTAGGAGTGCCCATTATCCACTCACTTGGAGACTAAACACCACCCCTTTGTGACTCCTGGTCCATGTCTTTTTCAGAGTTTCTCCTTGGTGCCTTCAAGTTGTGTCAAAACGACCAATGAGTGAATGGAAGTTCGAAAACACCAAGGACGCAGTCGCAGTCTGCGCGATGCCACCCGCAGTCCCCATATGGGCAATCGCCAGTGATAAATCTTTGTCGACCAGTGGACATGTGTCTCTGCCACCAGACAGGGCTCCTGAACTTTGGAGAACCAGCGTTCTATTTATCACTTATCACAAGAAAATGTGTCCTCATCGGATTCAGACTAGTGACTAGGATGACTAGGACGCTGCAGATCCTTCAAATTCAAAGCAAACCCGCAGAAGGCGTGAGAATAGATGGCGCAAATTCCAAGAAGACCTTCCTTTGTGACCTTTGTCAATCACTAGCTGCGGCGGACTTCTACTCCACTCTAAGTCTCCGTTGGCTGCTAAGCCACGACAAGCCTTGTCATCCACTGATCCTCTTATGACCACAAACTCCGCGAGGTCGTTCCGGCTGCCGACCACCGTGCCTCCCGCTGGAGGGGCTTCTCCCACTGCAGCTCCAAGAGCACAACACCGTCAAGGCTCTCTTCCAAAGCCTGGATCCATGTTCGTGTTGATTGTTGATAAATGGAACCTCCACCAGTCCAGAAGGAGTTCGGACTGTTATGAATGTCATCCCCCTGACCCAAAGCCGATCAAGCTGGTACTAGTGACCGATTCTGGTTTTGGCATGTTTTAGCTACGTATGCCTATACCATCTGATTCCACCAAATGGTTTGAGCTACTCCACCGACTCCAATCCCCTGTCCCCTGTCGGTTCCGCGCGTTGCCCGTTCCGCCACCTCGCAGCCGCGGAGCAACGGGAGATTCCCGGTCTCCTGGACGATCGGTCAACAGCCGTGGAGCAACGGGTGGATGTCGATCAATGTCTGTTTCAGAGGGTGACGTGTGTGGCTCTGACAAGGTGAGGCCGAGCGGCCACGGAGGCGGAGCCCATCCTTTTGTATGTTCAGAAGGCCTGCTTTTTTGGGGGGGTAACTACGCGATCAATAGGTCTCGTTTCATCAAAATGTCCAAGTGGCAGGTGTTGGGAGTGTGGACTCTACGTGATCGGCTAGAAGTTAGAAGATAGAATTGCGCAATCTGCTGATCAAATACCAGCAGTTTAGGAGAAGTATGATTCTAAACATACCCAAACTCGGGAGTCTTAGCAGTTCAATCTCTTTCAGGAACTCATGGGCGTTTCAATCCCAAAGATTTCCAGTTGGTTGGACTGTTTTCTCCAGTTGGAGAGGCCTTTGCAGGTGTCCACTCCACCGGCATACGTCTCCGAATTCAGATCTTTCAGACCAGGTCCTCCCAAACTCCGAACAAGCCCACAGTAGGTAGACTCAAAGCCTCACTTGCTTAGCTCTTGGAGAGCATCTTCCGGGACATCGGTCCCCTCGCGGAGGGCCGAGCATCTTCCGGAGACCTCTGGAGATCATCCGGGCCCTTGGGGGCCTTGCTCGACTGTCTCCACTGGTGCGGTGTTCGGTGGGCCCCAAGTGGTCTTCGGCAGCACCTGACTTGCTTGGTGACCACTGACCTATTGTGCTTTACCAAGTGTTTGGGTAATATGCTGCATGCTGATCATTCTCAACTACCTCCATCTCATCTCCAAATCTATGAAAAGAAAAATACAATAATAACACCTCCGATAAATCTGAGATCATCATCTCTCAAGCTTCCCTTTTCGGAAAGAGGTCCCTCTTTCACCGGTGCCAGACCCCACGAGCCAACCGCCCCGGTGAACGTCGCTCCAAGACGAGGTCGCTGCAGGACTCGAAGCGCGCAAAGGCGTAGCCGGCGACGCCGGCGGCCCCGCCCTGGTCGCGGCGGAGACTAGAGGCGGAGAGGTTGGCGGAAGCGAAGGTGGGTGGAAACTCCAAGTCTTGGAACCTAAGAGCACCACAGAACGAATGACAAAAACAAGAAGAGCCAAAAAAAAGCGGACATCGAGTCCCGACATCGGAAGCACTCCGGACCGGAAAAAACCGCTGGATCATGGATACGTGTGTATTGGGTCTATCCTATTACCAGCAAAGGTGGATATTAGCTTACTGATTGTTACAGGTAAATTCGGACAGACCCAACGTCTGTAGCTCAAAAAAGAGAGGGCCCAGGGCCCATGGGGAAGGGTTTGGGGCCATCCTGTGCATCTTTCAGCGTCAGCATCCGCGTCATGGCCAGGCTGTGTTGTCTGGGCGTGTGGAGCTCAAAGACCGAACCCCCAGGCGTTGCAGTTCCGAACACCCCCCCGAGAAGTGATCTTGGCGTTGCGAGCCACGCAGCGGCGCTTCGCGGTCCGCCGAGTCCGGTTCCTCCTCCGCTTCGTGCCGACGGCCTGGCTCCAGTGGAGCCGGAGCCGCGACGGGCGACGCTGGGGATGCAGCTCCTGCGCGGCGCTGGCGCGCCAGCGCGGAACGTGAGATGCCATGGCTCTGGTGTGGGTCCGAGTTCCTCTCAACAGCGAGGGTCCCCTTTTTGAGGAGACCATCTCATTGGTGCGAGATAGTCCCCTGGTGCTGCTTTTCTCCCTTGGCTTTCAGTGCGCGCCTGTCGACCATTTCCTCATTTGCAAGGCCAGGTTTGGGGAATGAATGTGTGAGAATCTCCTGCTTTCGTGCGGTTGAAGGCTTCTTTACCTTGATTTCCTGGACCAGCCCTCCCATCTCATCTCCCCCAGACCAGACCCTCGCCCCGGCAGTTGGTCGGGCATGTCCAAACTCTGCCCTCATCTTGGAAGGTTTCTCCACATCAACCTCAGGGCTCCGGTGTGACCATGCAACACCAGAGTCCAGGGTGACTAAGCGCTTCACCCGGAGTCCAGGTCGACCTCTTGCCCGGAACCCGGTCAAGAAGAGACCCTGTCGATCTGGGGGGGGGTGCGTCGATCTTCCAGCCCTGCAACAGGTCGGTCTTTCTGGATGAAAAGGCCGACATTCTGCATATTATTTAGAATAGGAAGATCATGAAAGATCCATAGAAATCCATAGAATACCATTTGAAATGGAATAGAACCCATTCGAATAATTGCATCATCATCATCATCATATTAGGATTCATTAGGAATCAATTCCAATACCAATTGAAACCCACATATCGATGTTCCTTCCCCAAGCCTTGGCTCTGACCCTTCGACTTTTCCTGATAGCCCTGGCTCTGGCCCGTCTGGAATCGAAGAAGCCTCGGCCCACGCGAACTCCGAAGGCGCACGATGTAACGGAAAACCACCCGCGGCCCTCCGGAGTGGCTTCACCCGGAAGTAGATCATTGTATAGTACCCTCCATCCAACAAACATGGAAGTGGATGGAATGGCCCCGAAGAGAAGGTATTCCACTCCCATGATTGTTTTCAGGGAGGGTAGACCCCCAAATGAATAGAAAAGTAGATGTCAAATGGCCCACACGAAAGCTAGTTGGCTATGAATTACCAGGAGTGCCATACATGTCCTATTACCCGTTCGTTTTCGCTTCACCCGTTTTGGGCAGCTGTGCAGCGGTCGAGCCGCTCGCGGTCGAGCGGTTCGTCTTCGGGACGGTGAAACCCGGCATTCGCCATGGCATGCACTCCCTGAAGTCATGGTGATGTGGTTGTTCCTATGGCCACCGATGATGGAGGACTATGAACTCCGAAGAGCCAAAAATGGTGCTGGTGGTCCGCCCTCCGACTTCCGGCTGATGTGGATGAAACAGGGAGCAGAGTGGCTTCACCTCTTCGGAAGCTATTGAAGTAGATGAGTAGATCGTTGTGTATCCGAAGAAGAGTTGCCACTTGTGATTCTAGGATCTTCTCTGCTGCCACTTGTCAGGCAAGCCATGGAATAGTACTGTAGAAAACCTCCCTCTGAAGCCTCAACGTTGACCAAAAAAGGAACAACGGACACTGAGTCAATCCTCTGCAGCTGCGAAACTCGCCAGAATTCTTTTGGTTCCGATCCGAAACGCCGAATCCGAGAATCCGAAAGCAATAGATGAGACTTGCGGGAAAACCCATGGAAAACCCCGTTGTTTTTGGAAAGAAAAAAAAAGCTGAAAGCTTCAGCCAAGCCCCGGCCAAACTGCCAGGAAAGCATCCCCCCCCCCCAATCTGGTTTGCTTCTGCCGAGCCGCAGCAAGGTCTCCCTCCATCGTTCGCCACCCGGCACCGGCCGCAGGGCTTGGCAAGTGAAGAAGGGCAAAGACCCTGGAACCACGCATGGCGATGGAGGTGCTTTTCCCGTGGAAGAAAACCAAAGACGCAAAACCAATGTGAGTTGTTCTTACCCCCCCAAAAAAGGGACAAAAAACTCAATACTCAAAAGGGGCACTTGCAAGTTGCATTGGATGAAGAACTTCAGAACGACAAATCCCATGTACACTGGAAGCATGTCGTGATGGAATCACGTGGTGGCAACGTCATGTGGCCACCGGTGGGCTTCATAAGGTGGCTTCATCCGATGTGAAAACCGATCCTCGAACATGCTCGGGATTTGCCATCGAACCTGGGACATTTTTGTACTATTCCCCGGGTTAGGAAGAGTGAACCACAGGGAAAATACCCAACACTTCACCCGGTCATTCTGCAGTTCACTCGCTTCAAGGTCATTGACCTGGTCACTCGCCCAGTCGTCGGCGCTGGCCGACCGACCACCGGGATCCGAAGCGACTCAGAGTCCAAACGACCACGTTTCCCCTGCAAATGGATGAACACCGTGTCCAGCAAAGTGCGGAGAGAGAGCAACTTCTTTCGCACACTGTGGTAGGATGCTGTTATTTTTCTCAGGGATGTATGAAGAAAGAACCTTCATGTTTTGAAAAGTGGACAAGAACAACCCAGAAACCCAGAAACACTATCCATGTTACTAGATGTTACTTGTAAAGTTGAGGGCCTTTGCGACGTTCACACTCCAAAAAACAAACTGGTGTTCTGGCCCGGTCCGGATGTTTTTCGCAAAAACCGTGAAAAGAAAGGTGCAAAGAAACTCATTCTCATGTTGTTGTTGAAGGGATGTTGACAGGTTCTCCCCTCCTCCGCACGCGTGGTGTGTCGCACGACGACGCGTTGCCCCGCGCCGAAGGAGGTGGGCAGCGCCGGCGGAGAGCTCGACCAGGTGCTGCCGTTCAGGGACCCGTCCAGCGGAACCTCGGCCATACTGGAGGCTTCCTGGAACTCAGAGCCATACCAGGCGGGCGAAAGGGCCGAATCAAAGGTGTTGGACCCTTAAGAAAAACCGCCCCAAAAGGACATCCAGAATGTTTGCCCGTTTCACATTCCCATCCACCATTCAAACTGCTCGAACCTGGCATGTTTTGAGGGGGGGTTGGTGGTTTTGATTTTCCAATTTGGAGGTTCAGAAATCTTGCACAACCCGATCGAGTTATGCCTGAAAGTGCCCATACACCTGGGTGGTTCATCGTTGAGAGGAAACACCGACCAACGCGCCAAAGCGGTCTGTCTGCGGTGGCAAAGTATGTTGGGTTGAACCCATGTCTTGACCACGGCGAGCAAATTGTTGTTGGTATTATTATGGAGCAAGCTTGCCGGGGTGAAAGCAACCCGGCAAAAAAAGGCAGCGCGGCGGCGCTCCCGCGCGAACCGCGCACCGTTCCCTCGGCCGAGGTGCTGGGTAGGTCACCTGGAGTTCCCAGCCGGAGCTCTTGGTGATCACCGCTTGCACCAGGATCTCCTGAACGGGACCGGCCGGACGTGGCCAGGCTGCACGGCCGGGACGGCGCGAGTCCTCCCGTTCGAACGGGGACGGCGAACCGTGACGAACGTGACGAAGGGAAGACGGACGGGAGGAACGTGGCGTGGCGTGAAAAGGAAATACAGTAGACCAGGCAACTGGTCTCGGTCTCGGTCTCACATGGTCTCACTGAGATTGGAGCCAAGAATTCTGGGAGGTTTGGTGCTTTAGGGGGCCGGGTCCCAGATGTATCAGAGGTCCAGCGGAGTTCCATGGTGCAAAGCTAGGAGCTTGGGGCACGGGCCCGAAGCATGAAACTTGGCCCGACGCGTTGGCCCCAGAACACGAGACCAACCCCAATGGACAAGTAGATGTCCAAAAACGTCTCCACTGCTCAGTGGCTACTGTTCCGTTTGAGAACTGACCTGCTCAGTGGCTACACGTCTCCGGCGTCGCCCAGTCCGATAATCCAGACCATCCCTGTGGAACATGCCCGGTCTTGCGACGCCCCGCCCCCCGCCCCCGCTCCCAGTGCAAGGTGTAGACCACCCCACGGAAGAGGCAGTGGAGCCCGCGCTTCCACTGGGCCCAGCTCCTTGGAAGGAGGTGTGGCGGGTCATGGGCGCGTTGGACGCATGAGGGATGGCTTGGTGTGGGATGCCTCATGGGTGGTTGCTGGTTGGTGTAGGATGCCACGTTTGAATTGTGCGGCAACAAGTCTGGAAGTTGAGATCTGAGAGTTCCGGGTGAACTCACAAAGCGGAATCCCATGGAATTCATAGGGTTAGGTTTTTACGCATCAGAAGTGAACAAGTCAGCTCTCCCTTCCTCACGACTCTCAAGAGTGGACATAGCTTATGAAGCTTCATCCACAGCCAGGCCTCAGCCAGGCCTCGCGCGCACACAGCTCGAACTGGTCCAGTTCGTGAGTCTTGTGAGTCTCGCCGCCCAACGGCAACGGTGGCTGTTTTGATGCTGGGTGACCTCTCACGGACCAGCCCCGGGCCGGGCGTGGAGAAACCCGAGACACCTCCGTTCACGACCATGTCCCAGCTCACTTCGACACCGTGGTCCGTCCGTCACCCAGGTGTTCACCCAATTCTTGGCCCCAATGATAGTGACAGACAATATGACCACCAGTCGGACAAAATGAGTGATTGGAAGCTCTGGGATTGATATATCATATGCTGCCCCATTCACCCCTGACCCCTGGCCTTAATTGGGAGTCATCCGCCAGTCCCATGGGTCGTGTCTGGGTGTTAGTGACTTGTTAGCGAGTCGGCGTGTAAAAACCAGGCAACGAAAGGGAATGGTGCACCAAACTTCCTTTGGCTGCCATTTCTTCACCTGTTTGAATCAAACACAGCTGCTGCCCCACGTTCATCGCCCCCCCTACAGGTGGCCCAGCCCTTCCCTGCCAAGGTTCAGAGTCATGAGGCAAGACCCTCGGGTCGCCTGCATGATCGGGTCGAGTCTGGACCCGGGCGTCGGGATGTGAGCGACCGGTCCGAAGAGAATCCGGGGGCAGCGAGGCTTCCAGGTCCGACGCCACGTCGGTGGAGACCGTGGAGACCTCCTTAGGCTTCCCTGGTCCACCACTCATTGATTCATAGGCGGGGAACATCCCGAATCAACGACCAGGATTTTACACGACAAAGCACCAGAGTCGTTCCCATTGGTTTGATGGTCGAACGGAAGTCTAGGGTAACTATATCTTCCAACGTTGGCAGATTGCTGGCAGAAAGTCTGCATCGTTGGAAGATCCAGGTAACTTCAGCCCCTGTGAGCTCGGCTAGTCTGGTCAATGTCTGTACCAGACTAGAGCCACAGCAATCAACAGGCTGGAGCTTTCACCTATCGCTTCGTTGGGGCCTTCCCACCAGGTCCAATCCCAATCACCTGCCAGGCGCACCTGCCAAAGGCAATCCACTGGTGGGGCATTGGACAAGCCGGGGCCCTAGGAGACGGACTTGCGGCGGCGCTTCGGCCGAGAGGTCATGACCGAAGAACGCAGGACGTCTGAGTTCTTCAAGTTCTTCCCATCTTTTCCGTGCCATTTCACCGTGGGGGTTTTGGGAGTGTCAGGTCATGTCAGGTCATGGATCCTTTGAAAGGCCACCGACCCAAAGTGCACGTCCCGTCCTGGGAAAGCCACTAGACTCTAATAGTAGGTCAACTCCAGGTCAACTAGCATCCAACAGTTCGTGGAGTAATGAAAGATCTTTGGGAACTTCTCTACCCCTCCCCTCCACCTGCCCTCCACCTTTCGCTCTGGACAGCTTGGAAGAAGGGACCCAAACATCCAGCTTCGCTCCGTTGAATCGGCACTCCGACCTCTCTTTCTTGGAGTCGGTTTTGGAGTTGGACGGGACCACGTCCTGTTGGAAAACACAGGGCATCGTCCTTTTCATCCGTGTCTTGTTCGAATCGCTCCACCAGTACACATATGGGCTGAGGCGTTCACCGAACCACCAGGGCTTTAGGGTTTTACATGGATTTTACATGTACCCTCCAAGAGGTGTCTATAAATAGCCTCTTAGAGTCCAAAAACCACCGGACTTGGAGGGACCCAGTTTCACCCACCCTGGTCACCGCACCGGTCCACTCCGCTCCGCGCTCGCCCTCGGCCGCGCAGCCCGCTGCCGCTGCCGCGCCGCCTCGACGGCGGGGTCCAGGACTCGCAGGTCGGAGGCGACGGGAGGAACCACCCGCACCTGGCACGTCGCGTCACCACCGGCGTGGCGCGGCGGGCCGCCCCCGGTCACGTCGGACAGGTCGAAACAACATGGAGATGGTCTTCTGTTTGCAATCGGTCCAGTTGGGTTTGCCGGGGTATGCCTTTTCGAAATATCCCAACAAGGGGTGTGTTGTAAAACATGGTAAAACCACATATCAGGTGAAATGATTGCATCGTCTGAAGTGATGTTCGAGTGATTGGCGCAGGCGGGTGGCCCTCAGAAAAGGTGCCCAACAGCAGTTGATGGAAATGTTTGGCCAACACACCATATAGACCATATACATTCAAAGAAAGGACCCTCTCAGTTAGAGAAGGGAACTCAGGGTCGATGTCTCCAAAGAAAGAACCGGATGTCTCCAGACGGATTTCTTGCTTGCACATTTCGATCCGTCTGACGGATCCAACACGCCCTTATGCCCTTGGCCGTTTCAGCCTTGAAAATTGTTGGCACACTGGTGTCACATGTCTTGCAAAAGCCATGAGTTCCTTGCACTTCGCTCTATTTGCAGCTAAGGAGTCTCGTTGAAATGCCTTATCACTGCCCAAGGAATGTAAGCCCCGATCACCCCAAACCGAAGCGGCCTCTGCCGGCACCCACGCGGTCGGATCCTCGACCAGGCCGCCGCCGAGCGGTCGGGATGTAGGGAAAAACCATGCGGGGAAGGACGGCTGGGCATGGTGCAAAACCACCTACCAGGACCTACCGGGACCTACCCGGGACCTCCCTACACCTCTGGCTTCGGGGGTGAACGGCACAAGAAGGGCTTGAATATAGGAAGGAAGTATGAGTAGCATCGAATCTACCTGCTTCCCGCAACCGTCCTGTTCACTCTGAAAATAACATACCTGCTGGTTCCATTATTGGTGAAGAAGCATGTGTACAAGGACCCTTCTCTCATCTTCTCTTCCAAAGAGAAAATTCACACCCCACACCCCCACACACCTCCAATCTTCCAAAACTCACCACTTCTCCATCTCAAACACCCTGCCTACCCGGCCCCAAAGTTCCCCGTGGCCTCCTCCAACGGCCTCCTCCCCTCTCCGCCACGCGGCCACCAAGCACAGGTCGACTCCCACGTCCAGGTCCAGCCACAGCCGCCCCGGCGCCGCCACCGCCGTGGCGCCGGACCTACCGAGCGAGCTCGGATGGAGTGGCGGACTCTCCGCGACCAAGACGACGAGAAGCTGGGAGGGGTGCGAAGATGATCGTTCCGTGGGGCAAAGGCATTGAGCTGATCGCAGCAGAATGACATGATGCGTTCTGGAGAGTTTGTTCTGAGGTGCGGTGGTCATCATGCAAAAGTGTGGGACGACCGGACTATCTTCATACGACCCCCACCCCCATACAGTGAGTCCCAAGGGTCATCGAAAGAGTCACCCCGTTGGGTACGAACGGCTGTGTCTGTCACTGTTCGATCCCACTGTGAGTCCGCCTCCGAGTTTGCTCGATCGATTCGATCAGCAATTCGATCGATTCGAGGATTGAGTTCAATGGTTCTCGTTTGTGGGCCGGTTGGTTGGTCTTGCCACTTCCCCTCAGTCTTTCACACGAGATCAACTCGTTACAGACGGTCGAGGCGGTCGAGACGGTCGTGGCCATGTTCCGTGACTGGGACTGAGAGGTCAGTGCAAGGTTGGTGGGTCTTCCTTCCCTGCACACCGCGAGCGACACTGCTCACACTGCATTGTCCGGTCAGCATCAAGCAACGCGGAGACACAATGCTTTTCCTGTGCTTTTTCGATCCGGATCTGCGTCGGAGCGACTCAAAGATCGTTTGAGCTGCATGAATGGACGCCTTCTGAAATGATGCCTGCGGGATTGGAAGGATATGTTGAATCTTTAGAGTCTTTAGAGTCTTAAAATGTCTTGAATATGTCAACCGATGTTCTTCGGATTGGTTCCAAAAAGGGCTCTCCCAAAAGCAAAGCGTCCATCATCTTCAGCCAAGCACACCAGGTGGATTGGACGATTCCATGCACAAATTCATCAGTTTGTCAGGAGTTTCGGCATGCAAGTGTCTTCTGCGTCTGGCTGCTCCCTGGAACTGTCTGCATCTTTCGTGTTCGACTCAGACCGCTGGTGTGGCCCAACAGGTAGACAAACACCACGTCCACGATTATTTCAGGGAGTGTGTACCTCCAGTTCTGCTACAATCTCTGGGACATTCTCCCAGATGTGAGACAGTGCCACAGAGCACTCCGCTCGACCAAACACGTCTCTGAGTGGTTTCAGTGAAGGCGTGCCAAGTTACAAAACATAACCTGCTGAATGTAACTAATATGGAGCTGGGATACTGATACTGATACTGATGTTGTTGCACGTGTTTACCAAACATAGCATAGTGGTTTTTAAAACAAAGAGGGTTTCTCTTTACCATGCTTTGTGAATTTGCGTGGCCATTCAGGAAGCCATCATGGGGACCAAATGCCCACCTCCCTTCAGCACCTTCTCAACCACCTCGCTGATGGATCTTCCGCCCTCCAGCGCGTTGCCTTTCCTCGCTCCGGATATCTGCCTTGCTCTTCATGGCAGGCGGTGCACGCGGCATGCTCCTTGTACAGTTGGCCATCTCGCGAGGAGGAATGGCCTTGAGCTGTAGAAGGACATCGCGCTGTGGCTGCACCAGTGACAGTGGCACCTCTTCGGAGATGATGGGGCGCGGGCGCGGTTGGTATCTAAAACCGTCACCTTCTGGCTTACTCCTCAGGCTGGGATCCCATTCCTCCTCAGGTGTTCCAGTGCTGAAGAAGCCTCCCATTGCGGCGATGGCGAAATTTTCGTGCCGATGCGTCCGATCAGACCACCTCCATGAGTCCGAAGAATTGCACTCTGGCATGCTCTCTTTGGATCTTTGGATGCTGCATTGCTTTGTCTTGTTGCACACCGTGGATCCTTGGACCAAGACCATCGAATGGCACACGTGCGATGAGTCCGCTCGACGCTGATCGCTCGACGCTGATCGACGCTGATCGCGGCGTGACGTTTGAGACCCGAATTGGATCCCCGTGCGTTGACGCTCCATCTGGGCACCCCAAGGGTAAGGAGAGAGAAGAGTAGGTCGGTGAGGAGGAAGCAAGCACTAAACCCAGACACGACCAGGCCAGGGGTGGTTTGGGGGGTCAAAGTAGGCATATACGGCAGCCCCATGGAGTGTCTGGGAAAGGGTTGAAAAGCAACAAAACGTGACAACAGCATACAAAAGCACGTACACCGCGATTTCGATTCACTCCAAACCAACCTCCACTCGATTCACTTAGGAAATGTCACCTCATGATACCTCATGCCCCAAAAAAGGCTTCGAGAAAAAGAGAGGTGATAGTGTAAGCGAGATTTCGTCCGATAAAAATTTACAAAACAGTTTGGATTGTTGCCTATGTTGAGACCACCTGTGCTTGAAAGGGTTTCTCAACAATTTCCCACTAGACTTTTTCAGCGGGGCAGATCCGCTTCCCATGAACCCGGGCCTGTTTATGTCATGGTGGGTGCGCAAAGAGCTTGTTGACTGGCTGCATATGGGAACTATTTGCAAGACCTGCCAGCTCGGTAGTTGGGTCGAAACGAGGCGAATCCCTTCAGATTCGTTTGCCCACCCAGGTGACAAAGGAAAAAACGAAACCAGCTTCCCCCTTCTCAATTCGAAGCCATATCCAGATATCATCAGATATCCAGATATAGGCGCTGTTCTTCGAAACAATCCTCTGACTTCCGCGCCCACCCATCCCCTGGCCTCACCGCCGCCCGTGGCCATGGGCCCAGCGCCACCGGCGCTGACAGCAGCAGGCTGGACTCGCCCAGCGCGGAGGGCTCCGAGCGGTTGGCGCGCAGCAGGCCGCGCCAGCGGTGGACGCCTGGCGCGCCGCTCGGCGAGCGTCCGTTTGGTCGTTCCGACGCGAACCTTTCAAAGGAACAGCAACACTTGCTAAAATGGACCAGCCAGCTTGAGAGTTTCAACTCTTTTGCGAGGCGTTGTCTTCACTAAGGCCATTCGACTTCCGAAAACGACACCTGGCGCATTCCACGGCCAACCACGTCTTCTTTCGGGGCGCTGGACCCTGACTCCCACACCTGCCTGCTGGACCTTCTCAACCTCTCTGTGTCGATCCAAAAAGAATCGGAGAGATCTGTGTCTCAACCTATCCTCATAGAGAGATCCAGAGATCCACATAGACCCAGATACCTATCCTATCTATCCTCATCCTCAGCTATCAACCTGTGGATACCAATCACAGCTGGACCTTCTCAAGCTCTCTGTACCTGAATCTTGTATTGATTGGCAGCGTCACTCTTCCCAGCGATGCATCTGAAACACGACAGCGCCGACCGGGCGACGGCACCGTGCGCCTGTGGAACCACCGCGTGGGAACCTCAGGAGACACGGCCCCGGGCAGGCGCCGGGCGGGCGGCCAGGTCGGGCGCCACACGAAGGCTCTCCGAACACTAACACACTCCAGCCAAGACAGACCATCCCCTTTTTTCAATCCAACCTCAACTCTCTGATCGATTGAACCCCACAGACCATCCATCCTCTCCACGTCTTCCCTCTCCCCACCTCAGCTGCAGCTCCACCGGCTCGTCCGTGACCAGCTCCACCTCCAAGCCCAGGGCCTCAGCTTTCACGCCGTCGGACAGATTGGGTGGAGAAGAACGTCGTTTGAGGGAAGACGCCTGGTGTTGACCAAGACTCAATCGAATCCTGGGACAGTCTTTCTCCGTCTTGGAAAAGAACGTCTGAAATGAAACTCTTGGTGTACACATCACGAAAAAAAGGCCGTGATGGAAACGAATGCAGACCTTCAGCCTTCAGCAGAATGATGCATGGAATGATGCATGACCTGCCAAAAGTGCTTGGGATGAATGGTTTCTTTCGACGGTCAAACCGTCCAAGTTGACCAAAAGCTCCAAAAGCTTCGTTCAACACTGAAGTTCTTCTCCCCCAAGCTGCACAAGCTCAAAGAGGACACCTCAGACGCACCTCACCCTGCCCGCGTCCCTCGGCGTCCGCCGAGCGCCCCACCCCACCCCGCCGCCCGCCGCCCTGCCATGGCACCACCGTGTTGCAGCTCAAGGGAAGCGAAGGCCCCACACCGCCTGCCGTCCGCGCCACGCAACCTGCGGGACCCCCCCCCCGCGGGCGTCCTCGCGAGAAGCACGAAGCGTGACGAGGTCCCTGGCAGTCACCCACTGGAGTGTATCGCGGTAGGGCACTAGGCACTATACACTTTTTGAGGGGGAGTGTCATTGACGTAGCTCCAGATCTGAAAAAGCCTTAGTCCTCCTTTTGGTTTCGTTCGAAGCTCACAGAACCCGCCCAGCACATGGCGCGGCGAAGACATGGCCACCGACATCGAAACGTGGGTCCGACGTCGTCGTGGGTCTGTTTGGTATGGCCACTTCCCGCGTCTGCATGTCCCCCATCTCCCGCTCTCAGAAGACCTTCATGCGGCTGCATCTGCCAGAGCGTCAGCGGGCTTGGCGTCAGCAGAAGCACTTCACCTGCACGGAGAACGCAGTCGAAGGATGGTCTGAAGCGGTCGCTTCAGAACGGGGCAGGTCCGGCAAGTCCTACAGTACCCATTTACAGGAACCAAATACCCAAAACGGTCTGAACAACCATAGCCATAGCAGAACAGAAAAAGGAAAAAGGTCCTACTAGACCAAAAAAAGACAGTCTGAAGCACCAAAGCAGAGAAAAGAAGATGTTCAGAGTTCAGAGTCTGAAAAAAACCCAAAGATTTCTTCAGGTATGCCAGTCAGTTGGCTGAAGAGAGGTTAAAATGTTACTTAGATTCCAAACAAATAGCCCAAATGAGGATGACAGAATTCTATAATCCACCCAAAAATCGAAGGCAGTAGGGCCTTCGAAGGGGTTGCTTTTTCCAAGCCTTTTCAAGTGGAGGTCCTTGACTTCCTGTGTCCCCAGAAGATCCCACTTCCATGCAAGATCAAAACGGGGTCAGGTCGACCAAAAACGGAGGATCGGATCAACGAACAGAAAGCGAACGGTCCTTTTTTGCCGCTGAAGAGTGTCCAGACGGACTTCATCCTGTGCCCTGAAAAATGTCTGATTCCCCTTTGGGCCAACTCCTCTACCTGCACCTGCGGAGTTCTCTTCACCCCCCCAACACCCATTGGCCATTTGGCCTGCTTCACACGGCCGGACACGCCGCGAAAACCGGCCACGGCCGCCTTTCAGCCCCCCCCCGAAGCGACGGATCCGCCGAGCCGACAGCGCCTCCGGTCATGTTATACTGCCTCGCGGTCCGCGCGGGCGGTCGATTCAGAGGTCCAGTCCGCGGGGTGTGAGGTCTTTCAACTATCTGGGTGAGGGCTTCCCTGAATTTTCGGGCTTACACAACCTATGCCGGCCTAAAAAAATGTCTGTGGGCCAATGTGGAAATAGCTGACACACACCCAAGGCGTGGTATGCAATCTTGCGCTTCGCTGTCTTTTTTGGGGGCATGCATTGGGTATATATATATATATTATACAGTTTATGTCTCATTCCTAGTAACAGTGGAGTTTTTCCGCTTTGCATCTTAACGAAGTGAAGTGGAGTGGTATTCACTTCCAGACAGTTGGTCAGTGTTCACGTACCAACAGCCTAATGGGAGCTAATTACAAATTGGAAAACAAATGCGAGGCAATGCAAGGTCGGCAAGCAAACGGACCAAATCTTCCATGAGAAGACAATGCTCAAATGCATGAAGTGAACTTCATTGCTGCTGGTCCCAAATGCAACGCACAATCTGATCGAAAGACAAATTCAAAGACTCGGGGTGTTGTGGCACGGGCACACCAGAAACACGCCAATGCAGGTTGAAATGGCGGGAAGGCGGTGAAGCCTGTTTGAGGTAGGCATCAAGGGCTAAAGCTGAATCGAAGCCAGAATCCCCTTAACAGTGGATGATGATGATGATGATGATGATGATGATGATGATGATGATGGTGACAATAAAGGCATCTCGTGACAACGAGAACATCCACATCCACATCTTCGCTCCACATCGCCGGCCACGCCCAGCAAACCTGTCCGCACCTCTCGAGCCGCAGGATGAGCGACATGAGCTGCCCTTCCATGGCCACGGGGTTCAGGTACCTACGGAGTCCCATTCCCGGCGATCCTCCGGTGACCCTCTCGTGACCCTCCGGTGACGCGTTGGAAACCCCCGTGGTGAAGGAAAAAAATGGAAAGGCTGCGAGCAAGAAGGTTCTGGGTTGATAGGGCACCATAGCTCTCCCCTGAATCGTGATGTAAAACCTGGGGATGCCACACTGATTGTCACGGGTGTTTCAGGCATGCCCCGAGAATGAGGTTTTATGATGACATCTAAAATCTAATCTGCTTAAAACGACACGGCACCCGATGCCGCGCACGCCAATGCGGCAATGCGCGGGGCACTGCGGCACGTGTTGCACCAGCAGGGTGGCGGCCAATGTGGCAGGCACCCAAGTTGTGGCTTCCAGAACCTCAGAATAGCCAGAAATAGGGATTATTGAACATTCCGTGAAAGGGTGCTGTGAATTTGTCCTGCCTATTCCGTATAGTAGTAGCAGCAGTAGCCAAGAATCTTCAATTGTTCGAGAATCCTCCCAGGCCCATGACAATAGTCCTTGCTCAAAGTGCCTCACCAGTGGGTATTTTCACGTCCTGCAGTGCTACTGCTACACTACGTTTGGCTGGTGCAACCACTGGGCAACCATCCGGCAAAGAGGAAGGAAGCAACTGCAACTCTGTTAGGGAAGAAATCATGCACTACCCATCAGCCATCCAATCCAAGTGCTTGTTGGGGGACCAGCTCCTAGTGGTGGATTTCCTCCGTCAACAGCTGCCTTTTCTTCAATTACCACTTAGGCATAGATCAGCCTGAAACCCACAATCCAGGCTAGAAGCAATGTTCCTGATAGATTCCTCAAGAATTTGGGGACCCTCTCACTAGTCACTCTGGCATCCCCAAAAATGAATCAGCGCCAGTCTATTTTACAGGACTCTGCCGACTCTGCGTCCCCTTCTCCCAAAGAAGAGGTACCCCCTCACTCTCGCACGGTCCGGGTTTCTCACAGTCCAAGTCACTTCCACTGTAGCACTCTCGAATTCCTGCCCTCCCACCAGCGTGGCCACGCTCACGTTGCCCAGCCTCGACGCGGCACAGGACGCGGACGCGGCGGGGCGATCCAACGGCGGCGCCACCGAAGCCGCAGCCGGCCGCCACCGAGCTCAAGACCCGTCCTCAAAATCCCTCGAAAATCCATCCGGAAACGGGAAAAGGGCACTGAGAAACTGGAGTCTTCCGGAACTCGTTGGCCCAACTGGCTTGCCATGCCCGGCCCGACTGGTCCCTGCCAACGAATCTCACGAACCGACGCCTGACGATCGACCGATCTCTCGGGAGAAATGGGTTCCCATCAAAAAACCGATCCCACCGATCTCTGGTAAACCAGATGGCATCCCAATTGGGAGATGATTCCGATGTTCATGAAAGAAGAAAGCCAGCTCGGCTCGGTGAAGAAAGCTCAGACAACCTGGTGTTGCTCGGTCTTCGCCATTGAGCTCGGTCGAGGCTAAGACTGAGTACCGGGACCGGGAGGAGCACCCGGGACCGGTGGCCTCTGCCTCAACCCCCTACGGTGAGGACCAGATTACCCGAAACCAACCATGAAAAAACGGAGGTTGTCACATACCAAAACCATCAAAAACCCATGGTTTTGGAGGGTTTGTGGGCCCCCCTGGTATGTGGTAATTTTTGGAGGGGCGACCGCGACCGCACCGGGCCTCTCGGTGGAGAGTTCGACCTCGAACACCATCTGATGCCTCGGGCGGAGCCCAGGTCGATTGCGTGTGGCACGCGGCGGGCGAACAGGCACAAGGTGGTAGGTCAGTGGTCTTGAAGCATAGAAGAGATTTAGAGATCATTGGCGTTGTCCCAAGAGTAGGGGAACCTCCAGATTAGAGATCATTGGCGTTGTCCCAAGAGTAGGGGAACCTCCAGATGTTCCTGGTAAAGCAGGAGCTGAGATTCGATGGCCCAGCTGAAAAGTTTGAAGACTCTGTCGATCGGAATCTGGCGGTGATCTGAACATAGTATGTCGCTCGCAGTGGTCCTCTTCACGCAGATGTGTCATATGGAACATGCCAAAATGCGTGTCAGACACCATTGTTTGTTCTTTCTTGCTTTGAGAGGTGTCATATTGACAAGGGTTTTGACCCACTTTAGATTCCAATTCCCAGCAACCAAAGCGTCTCGCATGCTCATCAAAAGGAACGCCAAAAAAGCCGACCGTCTTCCTCTGTCACCATGGACCTCTGACACCCACACAAGGATGACCCAATGCGCTACCACAATGAACTAGCAAAGTCACATCAATGGTCGTTTTCTATGTCGTTTTCTACCCCGATGTTTCATCAAAGCGAACCATCGAAACACCCTAAAAACGACATAAAGCCGCACCGCTTTCCCAGTCACGATTGGTTCTTCACGAGACATCCAGCAAAATTCAGCAGAAAGCTGTGGTTCTCCTTGGCATGGGGTGCATTGGCAGGTGCATGGGGTGCATCCGTTCGGAATCAGTCTGGTCCGTAGTTGTCTTTCTCATATCATCTGACCGAGGCAGCATCTCATAGTCATTTGTCACGAGTAGAACTTGTGATCGTTTGGTCGAAGTTGTCACCGCGACCATTTGATCCAATTCGAGGGGGTTAGCAGTGATCCACCTCAGGTTGAAGTTGTCCTCCTCCTTTTCGCTTTCACTAGCCCAGCACATTTGAACAAGCAACCAGGGTTAGATTGCATCATGTTACCTTGGCTGAGTCAAAGGTCAAGTGGTTTGTCATCACCTAGCACTTGCTTAAAAATGCCTCGGCCGTCCGTCCCACAACGAGTAGAGAAAGCTGACGGAGTGGGCTGAGCAAAGGTGGGGGTCCATGCTTCCTGGCGAGAAGACCACAGGTACGAAAGAGCATGAGCACAAATATGAGAGAGCACGCAAGAGAGCACACAAAACGGAAGCACACATGTGAGGGTGAGAGCACACACAGATATAAAAGCACGTAGATACATGAGAGTACATGTGGGCACGACTTTGAAGTTCACAAGTGCTGTGTCTTCCACGAAATCTGCAGTTCACAAGTGCTGTGTCTTCCACGAAATCTGCACTTGGAGGATCACAAAGCCCGGAGCCCACAAAATTTGCCGTTCGAGTTTCTTAAAAAGCTGTGCTTTTCGCAACATCTGCATCGCGCTGTGCAATTTGAAGTGTTTGCCACCAAATCTGCACTTCGAGGTTCACGAAATCTGCATCTCCAGGTTCACCAAGTGCTGCGTCTGCCACGAACTCTGTGCAGAGAGGTTGACACAAAGTGCGCCTGCCTGCCACATGTCGGTGAGCACACCTTGGGCAGAAGAACCTTCAATAGAACACCATCCCAGACGCGACCCTGGACCCTCCGTTCAGTAGGGGCCGGACCCTCATACACTGGCCAGAAGAAAGTTGCGCTTCTTGATGTTGAAACTCATGACA